ACACACACACACACAGCTAATGATAAATTACAAAACATGCTTCCAAAAACAACAGGGTTACAATCTGGAGGTGAAAGGCACATAGCCCCCAGGAAACGATCTAAAGACAGATACACACACGCACAGACACACTCACATGCACATAATGGACACAGTTGCAGCGAGAGCCAGGAGGAGCAGCTTGTGATAATAACTGTAATCGAAAGCAGATGAAACTAAAGACAGGGCAGAATTTCGAACTGTACTGAAAGGAGTGTTTTTAAAAGCTAAAGCAAATGGTAGGACCTCGCAACTGAGTGACAAGAGTGATCGCTTCACACAGCTGGTTTCTATTGCTGTTAATGGCCAGACAGCCAGAGGAAAAGACACCACCAGGCACCACTCCTGACATTCTCTCAACAAGCCACTTTACAGTGGTTAGTGGACATAGATATTATATTGTTGAGAAAACACTGGTAGTTACAGCCAAACATGGTGGGGAAGCTGGTGTTTTCATAGCAAAGCGAGCAGATTTAATGGCTGTGTTTTTATTCTCTGTGCTTTTATTCTCACATCTTTTTACTGAGATGTGCGAGCGCAGTCAGCACAGTTGTGGGAGCAAATTCAATGTGGTTGAAAGTTAAAAGGCCAGAGATGGGTTAATTAAGCACAAAATACATTACAATGAATGTATTAAAATGCAGCAACAATTTTAACAAGACTAAGAGTCTGCAGCTAAGCTAGCAGTTCTGAGACGAACATTAGCATGCTAACTTGCTCACAATTACAATGATAACGTGAAGTAATGATTGCAATGATAATGTGCTTGTGTTTGGGTATAATGTTTACCATTGACTGAGATATTTTAGTCTGGACCAAAATGGTTGACCGACAGACTGACCAACACACACCTCGAGCGTTGCTGCTAGAACGAGTTTGACTGACTTTCAACTGATCTGATCTGACATCATTTAGAGGCGTGTGTTAAGCGCTCAGTCTCAGTCTCTTTTTATAGCTTTACCATTTATCTCTCATTCACAGTTGCTGGCGGTAATCAGGTCAGGGGCAGTTTTCATAGTCCTTGAACTTGGATGGAAACTGGGGTCTAATTGTCCTCAGGTCCATTTTGGAACAGGTTAAAATAGCCCCAGGTCTCTTTCAGACCAGCTCTTTGTTTTTTGAAAGTTAATGTAACAACAACAGAGCTGTGGGTCTCTTTTAGACCTGGAAAGACCTCCAGTTTGCATGCATAACCTTGAACTGAATTTCTGGGTCTGAAAGAGCATACTTCATGTTCGACTGCAAATCAGATTCAGATCCTGGTAAATGGTGAGCAGGGTCTGCACATTAGACTGCAGCTACGTGATGGTAAAAAAAATAAAACACCAGTTACAGGCCACTGCTGAGTAACATACTTGGCCTTGACAAGCTGTAACTTGGCAACATCTAAGAATTTATTTGGATGGAGAGAAGAGAGCAAGAGGAGACAGTGGGAGAGAGAATATTGGCAGGCCCTCCTTCACACTGCAGCTCAATAACATCTCCAACACACTCTGTTACTGTGTTCTGGTGATAAAGATTTGTATACTTTTATTGAGTCTATATTTCAGCAATTGTTGATAGAAATACAAACCCACACAGGAGAGTTGAACATTCCAAAGTAAGAGTGGAGTTATCCTTCATAGGGCTTAGATATATATCTGATTGAATGCACAGTCCTAAAATCTCTCGTTACAGAGTGGTGACTTTACACCACTGCTGGCTGAACAGCCGACTCATACACAGCACCGACTCCCTACGGGGGAAACCTAAACCCACCGTTTAGATCCTGGAGATTAGCTTTGTGTTTACCATCTCCCTCTTTTCTTGCTGTGTCTTTACCTCGTGCGGAGGAAGACCGGGTGTTGAAAAGCCCCACATCAGGCATACTTCCGCTCCTCTGTGAGAGGTCACACAACATGTTTCCACAGCTTGAATGACTTGGACGTCAGGTTGGGAAAATAGAAATTTCTATAGCTATGGATACTTTTCATCTAGGCTGAAATGTTCTCAATTGTCACAATTTTATTTTGAAGGATGTATAACGTACATGCAATAGTGCACGGTTTCCATTATGGCCTGACTGTTCCTGAGGTCATATCACCACTAGACGAGAAGCTAATTGACTCTGGGGTCAGATGTGTGACCCTGGAGTGGGATGAAAAATAGCTGTGCTCAGACCTCGGAGGTGAAAACAGGGGGCTGAGCCAACATTGTATTGACTAGTTCATTGCTTTTAGCTCTTGGACAAAATGAAACCAGCGTCCATAAACACTTCTATTGTCCTATAAAACTGGAAACCCTCCCACATGTGTACCTCTATGCTTCAACCAAGCATTGTAAAAGAGGATTTTCTTCAGCATGCATGGGAGCAGTTAATGCATTTAAGTATTACACGGCTTAGCTTAGTCGTCGAGAGGGCGGCGAAATTAACTGTTAACATGTTTGCAGGCGGAATGAATCGGAGATTAATTTGATTGCTGAAGCCACACAATCCTTGTTATCCGTTAGCCTGCAGAAGGAGCAGTCAGCATAACTGGTGAACTATCATATGGTGAGATATAACAGCTACAAAATATAGGCATGAAGTGTAACACTACACAGTGTAGAGCTTGGAACCATTATTAGGTTAACAACATACTGGAATGTATGCGAATGTGTAAAATAGTATAACAGAAAATCTGAAATCCTTTCCAACTCTGTTTTTTGTCTTCTATGCTAAAATATTTTAAAGGTTTTAACACCAAACATTTAAAGTTTATTTTGAAATCCTTGAACTCACATTGCAGTGTGCATGGTGAGCTTTTTGATAAGTGAGATAGTAATGCGATCCTAGGAATCTTGTTGTCATTTGATCCATTTTTAAAGAGTCCTGTCGTGACAGTGCACTCTGTTCTTAACTTCTGCTTTTGGACAACAAACAATATTTTGAAAGGAAAGACGCTTTCCGGGAAAAGCACAAAGCTGTGGGCTCAAATGCTTAAACTGAGCCACGCCCAGACTGTTGTGGCATTTCAATGTGGACAGTCAATGTTTCTGGTGTCGGCACTAACTGTATCTTCAGATTTAGTCCCACCACAGTGGATGAGGCCCAAGAGTTCGGTCAATGTGATTTACAACAGCTGACAAAACTGCACAGCATCTTTACCCTCAGTGGTGCTGTCCAATGTGAATGCGATGTGGCACGGGTGCTAAGATGCTAATACCTGTTCAGGTTTGAGTCCTGGTGGTACCCAGGCGTACTCCTCCAGGGCGCAGCCCGAGTCGTCGTCTGAGGTAGAGTTCCTCTGGAAGTCGTACATCAGCTTGGTGACCGTCTTCTCCATCTCTACAGGCATGGCTGTCACTGCATGCTCCTCACGACGACACTTACAGTGCACACAGATCTTCCTACCATGGACAAAACACAACACAATATGTCAGGCCAATGTTGTATGTAGACTACACTTCTGTGCTGGAAGGTTAATGGAACAAGAGCCTCAGATTTTAAATGAAAGCAGTAGTTATTTGACTTTCTAAATTATGCTGTTGAAAAGTGTGATTTGTGGTTTGAAAATAACTTTTGCAAATTTGAACTCACAATACAGAACCATTAGGGTGAAAACAACAACATACTCAGTTTAATGAATCACAGTGTAAATAGAACTACATTTGGGGCAGATAGGGTTTCAGCAGAAACAAGACTTCATACTGAGGTTGCTGTTGGGGCCTCTGAAGCCTTCCATTAATCACAGAAAATAAAAAAAAAACCAAATTACTTTTTTCAACAGGTAACCCCAGACAGCCTGTAAAAATAACAGGAAAATCTATCATGCAAGCTACTTGCTTGTAGACATAGTAAAGCCCCCCCTTTGAGAGAGCCGTTGGCAAACTCTCTACCCGTAAAGGATGTGAACTTCACACAGTGCAAAGGTCAGGGCTTCCCACTTCAGCTCTCACTGTAAAATGTGGGTGTCATAATAATATTATATAATATAATGCTCAACAATCCTCTGGGGTACCGAGAACAAGGGTATAATCACAAACAGGCTATGGAAATTAGCAGAATAAAGCCAATGACAGTGATGAAAAGCAGTACTGTATAAACACACTAACAAACACACACACACACACCACAACACACGCGGAGCCACAGGTACACACACACAAACACACACGCACCCCTGTGTACAAGGTCAGCGAGAAACACTAGCAGATGCTAAGCCAGGACAGTGCTCCACTCTCATTAGTCAAGCAGACCCACCCAACTATGAAATGGAAAGTATCCATGTGAGAGTTTCCACAGAAAAGACGGTCGGGAGTGCTTGACGCTGACACTCCTCCTGCGAGCGGCTCTTTCATCTCCAAGGGTGTCCAGAGAGTAATAAAGAGAGTTGTTATATTTCATAGACTCAAACAACTATTCTCCAGTGTTGTCTTACAAAATATTGGTATTAACAGCCACAAATTACTCCTTGGAGAATGACACAGAACTTGTGTGATGTCTCACAAAAAGCAGAACAGGATGTGAGTTAAATACCTGAGTGAACTGATTTAAATCAAACCATAGGCCACCTTCAGCACATCTGTACTGAGATTCAAAGAGAGAAGACGTTGCATACATAAAGATTCCCGTGCCCTTGACGGCTCTACGTCCCCGCATGAAGAGGAAACTGTGGGTGGCCTGAAGGTCGAATCCCCCTAACCCTTGCTGCCCCTCAGGCGGCCAAACCAGAGAGACAATCCCATTACCTTCCCAGACGGACGCCTGTCTGTCTGATAGACCGCCCTACGGAGGAGCTTAAGGACACTCAGGACACTGTTTGACAGACTGACAGCTTGGCTGGCCAGGGATCTGTTAGTGTAAAGTTCTTGGAGCGCAGACAGCACCATGTGGAGAGCTGGCCATGTCTCACCTTGTCTGTGGCTCAAAGGAGCACTTCTTGTCTATGGGTTGAGCCTTGGTTAACAAAGCACTTCAGTCTATTTGGCTTAGCACTGATGGGTTTTGATGATAGAGCAGATACTGTATAATACTGAAACAGCTTGTAGCTCTCGGAGTAAAACATCCCACTGACATGCCACAACTGGTCGTATGACATGCAATCTTTAAAAAGAAAACACAAATATACAGGTCTCAAGTTGAGCGAATTCTCCATCATCACTTGAGATTCGTCGCCATCCGCCAGGAGCCTCACAGCCTATTACTGTCAGCTCCAGCTTTCCACACCACCCTGAGCAGAGAGGCAGACCTCTGCAGTCACTGTGGAAGGGCAAGACACAGGCTTTACACACTGACTCCATAAATATTAACAAAACCAGATATCGTTGTCATGAATATTGATGGGTATGATAAACTGAGCAGCGGTGCAGCTCAAGGAGACAAAGTCATCAAGTAGCTGTCAAGCTAGACAGGCATATGGGTGTTTGGCAAATCCCTGTCCCAGCGGCATGATGCTATAGCCAGGGGCAACACAGCTTGCCTCATTACAGCCCAGCACCATCACCATCATTACTAATTCAAGACTGATTAACACATTGACACACAAAAATGCGTATAAAGGAACACACGCTTGCAGTGAGGATGATGATTGAAAGTGAAAGGCAATGGCACCAAAGATGAAGACAAAAAGGATTAAGCAGCGTATGGACACTTCTTCCATTCTCCTGACATGCTGCCAGATGGTTAGCAGTTATTTCTGCCTTGGGGTGAGGAGGGACTCTTGGAGATAAGAGTATAGAAATAGCCGGAGCTGAAGTAAAGCATTTCACACCGCATTCCTTCTAAGAGGACGCATCACAACATCCCTGCCCCACACTCTGCTTATACAGTCTCCTTGGAGGTAGATTTTGAGGCAGAGGAGCTTTGGAAAAAAGCATCTCTGAATCAATCTCTTAGTCCAGATGTGTGATGATGACCTTCCTCCAGTGATTCACCTCGCAAACATCGGATCTCCCCAAATCAGCGCTGGCAAACATACTGTAGGCCTACAGGGGCCGGTTGCTTTGCTCACCCCCCTTTTTTATCCTCATGATTTACAGCACGCTTCATGCACATGCCTGGGATTTCCCCTCCACTGAAACCTAATCCCCAAACTTCCCCTTGTAATCTACATGATTTCAATTAGGAGAGATTTTGGGGCTTTGGTAATACGAGTCAAGTGCATCACTGACGCCTCATAAATGACTGAGGCAAAGAGAAGAATATTTAAAGTCTTGTTCTTTATTCAATTGTGCCCTTTTGTCCCCTGGGAGATGTAAATGCTTCTGTACCATAGGCCGGTTGGAGTGTGAGGTTTGTTCAAGACCTGGGGGGTATGTTGTTAGATAGTAACCCCTGTGACCATGATGTCGGTAGACAATGATTCACCGTTTCAAGTTAATTATCATCGCCCTGCTCCTCTAGATTAGACCTGTAACCTAGGTAACGGGTGGTTTTAATACGTAACTAGAGTTGGATAGCCCCCTTTGACAATTACATATACTTTGTTAAATTGTTTTAGGGAACTGATCCAAGATCTTCAGCAAGCATGGTCTCAAGTTAGACCAAACATGCTGTGTTAAAACTGATTGAATGTAACGTCTTACTAAATGTGCTTCAAAGCAGAAGTTGACTCATAGAAATGATCTTTGCAAGGCAGGTTAGGCTGTACCCCTAATTCCAGAGTTGTGGGGGTAAAATTAAGAGACTCTATTCAACTCAAACTTAATAAAACCATCTGACTCAACTGTATCCCAGGGCCAGTTGAGGAAGTATAGCCTGGGAGAGTCTGAAGTCCCATTCCACTCTCATTCCTGAGAGTTGGGAAGCTCCCAAAACCACTGCAGCTTTTCCATGGCATCACTCTAGATGGTCAGATTAAAATCCCATCTTTAAATGGCAGCTCTGCACAAAAGCAGAGGTTGGATGACAAGAGAGGAACGCGCAGAGGAGACAACAGCTGGGTGCACACTGCAGCCAAGTCTTGTGTTCTTTTTTCCTGCCTCTGCCTTTGTTTGGTGAATACATTTCCGATCAGTGTTTTGAAACAGTCTTTGGAAATTTTAGGGGCTTCAACAAATAGCCCTGCTTTCCAAAATTACCAATACACAGGGAAATGTCTATGTACCTACACTGGGCTGCATGTAGACTTCAGAGCCATTAGGAGTTAATCACAGTTAAACATGACTTGAGGTGTTCCCGACAAGAATCAGGCTCCACAAAGACATTTTCCATTAGGGTCCAATTAGTAAGAACCAGATGCAGCGTGTTCCCAAGGACAGAGATTAGGCCTGCATCCACCTGTCATAACAAATTATACAGAGGAAAAATCCTCTCTATGTCAAATTCTAGATGCTATTGAGTCGTACTGTGGGAAAGGTAGATGTTTGGATCTTGATACATACTATCCCAAAAAGTTGGCAAATATCTGCCGGAAGGACAATACAAAATGTCTGGAGTACCACTTTAACCTTAGGGCCGGTTCATCCTTAACGAATGGGGAAATTCTAATCACTGTCTTTTCTTGGCTGAAATTATTTTTGTTGGCCAGTACAGTGAATAGCTATTTAACTTAAAATGGACAGAAACTTGTGTTTTGTGTCAGTGTTTTAGATTTTCATAAAGCAAGAAGCTAGTGGAACACAAGCTAACCAAGAATTGGGATGGCACTGTCAACTATATAAAAGCAACCTATAGTAACAAATAGGCTAGGTGTATACACACACACACACACACACACACACACACACCACAAGTACAAAAACAGGGCTCATACAGTCACACCATGTCTTTAAATTGTAGATTTGCCTGAGGCCGGGCTTATTTTTCTTCTTCCAGCTCCAGTAGTGTAACTGAAAAGGCCGTAAGTATTATAATTCCCCCTTTTTCTCTCTCTCCAAGAATTGAATGGGAAAGGATTTATGTGGGAAACGGGAAACAAAAAGAAGAGACAGATATTTATGTAACATCAGACGCTTTTTAGACGCTATACTTGAGACTGGATCACATTACTTATTCATCCAGTGTTGACTTGTTCCATTAAGTGACACTGCTTTGGACGGGGAAAAGAGAGTCATGGAAGGGACAAGCTTCCAGGACAACCTCAGTACAGACTTCAGACGCTTAACACTGCCAGATCATTAGCAAATGTGTTGACCAATGCGAATGTTATTTAGGGGAACATATCTCAACAAACCTACCAGCCCTTCTAGGATTTTTCACCGGAATATTGTGTTGACTTTTCTTTCCCAGTGTCGGTGGGAAAAAGCAGCAACTGATTTTTTTTCCAGAGGCAGTTGTGGATGTCAGATATAATGTGGATCTGGCGTTCAGGCTCCTGTCAGCTCAGTTAATGTTTGGCCTGCTCTCAGACCTGAAGAGCCCACTGATACTGCAGCCAGCTGCTAAAGCCACATTATTCATTACTCACCCGTCAGTCCATTCATGTGCTAATCCGGTGACCCTTTACACTGCTAAAAAGTAGCCTCTAAATGGGTCAATTAGCCTGCACTGAGTCTTGCAATGTTCTTCTTAAAACAACTGCCATGGAGCTGCGGTTATGCCACTTGTTTCCAATGCAGTTTGCGGAAAACTCCAGGAAATAATTAGCCTTTTAACAAGGAAGACTCAAATCATGACAACAAAACAACACTTTGACTGAAGAAACATCATAAAACATGCTGACTTGTAAGATATATCAAATAGATCTTACGATATATCAAATATATCTTACAGGTGCCAATTTATTTATCTGTTTATTTACTGAGCAGCCTACAATAAATATGGCACAGAGGCTCCACAGCAGAGAGAGAGAGCCGTAGCTTGACCATTGCGCTACAGGGGGTGGGGTGGGGGATAAAAACCGGCGAGAACACGTCTATAGGGAGAGAGTCCAGCAGCTCTGCATTTTGGGTATTATTGTAATCCAAATAACACCCTGTTTAAATGAATGAATGAGCAAACTATCGATTTAAACCCACTTGGAGATCTTGGAGGCAAAAACCGAGTTAAAAACCCCCACTGACTTTAAAATGGACAGAGGAATTTAATATCTTCAGTCCTGCGTAAAGTATTGCGCACACTGCACAGAGAAAAAGAGGCTGAAGTCAGAAACGCATTGGATGTCACAGACAGATACATTCGTGCGTCAACACTACTTTCCACAACGCATCTAACCTAGGGTCGTAGCGGCTCCCGATACAACACAAACACGATCAATAATCAGTTGCTTACCTTCTTACAAACTGCGGCGGAGGGAAGCCATAGCCCTGACCTCGGCGCTGGTTGCGGTTGTGCGGCTTTTAAAACACGTCTTCCTCATTGCAGAATTTGTTACCCAACTCCAACGCCACAGCCTCACTGCCACGAAAACACACAAACTCTCGCCCGCTGCGTGGTGCCTGCACCCCTCCGCTACATTTACCCCCTCCGTTTAAAAGGCTTTTGTCAAGCCCCTGCTCTCCGCAAACACACTCAGGAATTCAGCAAACGAGGACAAAGCTGTAGACGAGGAGCCAACTTAAAGAGTGCGTAAAAAAACAACAACAATCTGATCCCACTTTTACAGATCCAAACAGGAGCGCAGACTCCGCCGAGAGGTTGTGGAATCCAGATGAATAAAACAGAAATCTCCGTTGGGACGCGGGGCTGCTGCTCGGAGTGGAGATCCGGGAGGACTTTCGGTGCGTAAAGGCGCTGGAGCTGCTCCGCTGGCTGCTGAGCGACCCTCTGAATAACGGCGCTTTAATCCGTAACCAGCGTCAAGCGCGTATAAATAACACATGCGCTTCCGGCCCGCACTTTCAAAATAAAAGCACCACTGTCACGCGTTTTTTTTTCGGATGTGTTGTTTTGTTTTAGAATTTCATCTACTAAATGAACATACTGTGATTTTATTTACCTCACACATCTACAAATGTATGTATGTTATGTAACTTAAATTATAGATGTATATAAATACTGTACACAGGTCAGATTTTTTTTTCCCCCAAATTAAAATTGCTAAGTGAATTTGTTGCATATAGGGAAATAGGTTGGTGACGCCTAAGCACACTGGGTTTGCTGAGGAAGACCAGGGATGCGGTTGAAAGCTCTGGACAAAGCTATCAAGCAGACCTTGAGTTCAGATTTTTTTGATCAAATTACTTTTCTAGTGAATATCCTACTTAAGCACAAAAGCCTCACAACATCCTCTATAAGCCTTGACTACATAAGGGTGCACTTTCTGACCTTCCAGACAGACATTGGCTTCTATTAATGTCTGTACAGATTGAAAATCAATAGTCAATCCAGACTCCTTATATTTTAAAGCTTTTGTTTTAACTCAAAGTCGCCAACTTCCTTTATCATGGGCCCTCTCTGGTTGACTTGACACACACTCACACACACACACACACACCCTCTCTCCCTCTTTCCCCTGCATGCTAATATCCTGGTGTGATGTCAGCAAGTCAGCATCCCAACACTGTTGTAATTAGCAGTGTTCTGGGAGGATTTGCATGTGAATGAAACAACTTCCCTGAATCTGCTAGCCAACAAGGAGAGGCAGAGAGGGAGGGGGGAGAGGGGCTGCAGAGCACTGAACTGCAGAGCACTGAACTGCATGGGGTAATGGGGAGGTGAGCCCTTGTAAACAAAACAGTGCTGTTTAACATAAGAAGTGGACATTAGCTGGAGAAAGGACGAAAGGCTTACAGACCAATGAACATTCACTGAATCAAAAACAAATGTAAAGCCAATTTAGTAGCATCATAAAACTCCTGTGCACCATGGGTCCATTAGTATTTTAGGCTGACTTTGCCAGAGACTCATAGACTATAGACTATAATTATATATTACTACAATCTATGTTATTACATATTTGTTAATATGTTATTAAAAATAGAAAATGCTCTAGTTTCTAGTCACCTCCACTTTGAAAAGTTGCATTATAAATAAGTTTGCTTTCTTAATTCTCAGTCCTAAATTGATTGTATTTATCAAAATACAACTGACCAAAATGCAGTCAACCACGAGGAACCTAAAGCCAGGGACTGATTTATACGATTACCACGTAATGGCAACAACATAAACAGCTCAATTGTTCCCCAACAGATTGCCACCATCTTGGCTATTTTGGTTTGGTTCTCTTAAACACTCACATGGCAATTCATTCTGTAATGCTATCTCTCTTCTCTTGCTCCTACAATGAGTGGTAGGAGTGTTAAACAATGTCCCACTGCACCTCCTCATTTGCTTATTTGTGTAACGCAAAATGTGTCAAGAAAAAGGAAGCATGCCCAGAAGTTTTCTGGCAATCAAAGCTTGACAGATTTGTGGAAGATTTCAAGAGGCAACTTGGAAGATGGATAGCATGGAAGTGGGTTAGAGAGTAATTAAATCAAGATTTGTGTATATTTTCCCCAAAGTGCCCTGCTGCTGCCTGTTGGCCAAACACAAGTAAAGGGGAAAAAAAACAAAGACAGAAATGCAGAGAAAGGAACATAAAAAAAGCTTTGAAATTATGAGGAAGAATTTTGCCGCTGAACACAGCTGGCAGCTTTGAACGACCTCCTCAGTTTTTGAGGACAGCGCTTTAGTCTCTTTTGTCCTTTCAGGAACTGTTCCTCTGGCTTCCCTGGAGTCACACTAAAGCTCTTTTCTGTTTAGTAAAAGCCGTCTTTCTGCCCTGGATTCTCCTGTCACACGTGGCGGGTCAACTCTCACCATGTCTTGGTCTCATACATCAGAACGTATAATCGGGGCCCCTTAACGAACACAAGAATATCAATTACAGCTCAGGCTGTACTTACAGCCTATCCATAAGATTTTACAAGGAGCTCTAAGTGACACTGTTCCCGGCTCGAAGCAACCACAGAATGGGTCAACTGGTTTGGGGCCAGCCATTTCCCTCAATAAGTAATTCCCTTTTTCCTAATAAACTGTTCCCTGACCTGCAGTGAGCCGTTTTAAATGCCACGAGAGTGACTGAATAAAAGCATAGAGGCCAGCTTAGGGGACATACCACAGATAGCAATGCCTTCATGGACTCTTGGCATGCACAGAGATGGTAATTTTAGAAAGTGAGTCAAACAGGTTTACTCCCTTCCTAAGCATGCATAAGCATATTGAGGCTTTGTCTGTATCAAAGCACAGGATGAGCGATATTGTAAATACATGTTGCCCTGGGGCTGGGAGCCCTATCTGCAAAAAAATATGCAAGAAAGTTGTACTTCCTCTAAGGATCTTATCCTACAAGAACATTATTCAAGTCTTACCAGGGAAGGAACTGATTTATATACTGCCTGATATGGTCAGAAAAACACTCTGATAAATCAATGCCTTTATCTCCATTTGAAATGTAGCCAAAATCCCAACATGGCCTCCTCATCTTTATTTCTCATCTGCTTTTTTAGGAGTCTCCTCTCCTTTCATGTGGCAAATGCTGATGGCTATCACTCTAGAGTCAACACACGAGGCAGCTGGGACTCACCCCAACAGCTGATAGCTCAGACATGTTGGGAGGGAGGGAGAGAACCAGCTTCCTCTCCCATATAGCTTTTCTTCCCACTGCTATAGTAGGTTTCTTTAAGGAAGTTCATTTCTAACTGCTCTCAGTATTTAAACTGCCCAAGAATATGATCCCTACCTGGCTACTTAACTGTGCTGCAGCCCCTTAAACCGACTGGTCTGGAACTGAGGCAACCCTGTTTTTGAGGGCAGGGTAATATCACACCATATCATGCTTCAGCAACCAGACCTGTCCTCGGCAACAAGAAGGGTAGTGAGTAGCAAGGGGATTTTCAAGGTTTGGCTGGAGAAAAAAATTCCCTAAAAATCATTGTAAAATGTAATTACAGTTCAGGGATCTCCAAGAAATGAAATAAAAGTGCTTGTTGCTTGACGCCAGGAGTTAACAGAGGTCCTGCTGTAGATACCTGTGCTGTAGGTTTTGATGTAGTTCAGTTGGTTGATTTATAGCAACACTAGACAGCTGCATCATACATAAAACAGGCCATAACATGCTTTAAATTATAGTTAACTGTTTACATAGAAGGTGGGCTATGCATAAGATAACTTCTATTTCGCCATCTGTCATCAGGAGACTGCACAGCGTTTACACTCGTTCAGTCACTGTGATACAGAGCCGCGAGCATGCTGAGAAATTTTTCAACTCCCTTAATCTTCACTTTCAACAGTCTTCACTGGCATTGGCAAATTGTAGGAAAAACACAAGGACACTTGTCACTTGTGTATATAATACACCATAAATCCTGGTTGAATAATGAATCTCTCTATGACAGCAGGATTTTCACCCTTCCGGATACAGATCTAGGACACATAGGCCAACAAATCAAGCAACCGGGGCGTTGAACTCACACGCATTGGAGATGATTGGGGAGCTGTTGTCAACCACAGCAGATAATCTTGGTAAGTTTGTTTGCTTACCTGCAGTTGGATAACTGCCCTTCCGCTACATTAAGAGTGTAATGACTCATGTTAAAGCTCGCATTCAGTTACAAAGAAGAGGAAATGTAAGTATGATGGTTCACTGGCTTTCCCAACCCAGCTCTAGTCACTGTGTTGGTTAAGAAGTCTGACCTTCCGTCTGCCATGAACAGCAGTACTTTGGCCCAACTACTCTGCCCAGAAAGCAGATTTAGTGTGACACAAGACTGCGGGCTCACTATGGTTCCCCCACCCAAGAGCCCCTCTGTACCCATGTTCCCAGCAGATAAGTGGCCATTATTCATCCCGTGTTGAACATTAACTGGATTAATTCTACACGGGTTGAGGGGTGAAATTGTATTTGTCCAAAGGGAGGGAAATGGCAAGGAAATGAGGAGAGTAGCCAGCTTGGCTGAAATTCTAATTAGCTCGGGGGTTCGTTAGCACACAAACTCAACCCTTGCTGCAGAAACCTTGCTGATACAGAGGCCTGGGTAAGCCATTAAGTCACAGAGGGGAAAATAGAGGGAGACAGCGAGAAAGAAAAGGAGCAAAAGGGGGAGAAAGCATGAGTACAGACACTCAGTTTCACGCTTAAAGGCCCAGGGCAAGGAGGTGACCTTGTGGAGTGACTCCTCAAGGGGACTGGAGCTATTTTTTGCCCCTCCTGGCCCACTTACACAAGGGCTCTTCAGCACAGAGGAAAAACACACTCTAAGCCCTCCACCTTCATCTATCCATTAAAACATCCATCTCCACTGTAGTCGGCATTCTCCAGGGTGACGCAGCTCGATTTCCAGCGTGTTGTGCCCAGCAACAGTGGTTTGTCAATGAGCTTTTCTCCGCCGTACTGTACATGTGGCTTCTGATTCAAAACATAACTAGGTCATGCTCTGGTTTTTTTTAAAAAAGGAAGAGGGAGGAACGGTCGTAGGAAGTAAAGAAATACTGTAGTGGACGCAGTGGGATATGAGGTATGGCAACAAGAAAGAATGAAAAATGAGTTTTGACATTATTATTATTCCTCTGTCCATGTCTTAGAAATATAGAGACATTTGGGAGAGGAGATCTAGCTTTCCGAGTGCTCAACCTTCCCATCTGTTCTGAAAAGTAATCTCCTTTAAAAAATGTTGTGAAGTAGTCCACAAGAATCTCTCATTTCTCTCCCAGCAACACATAAAGCCACAGCTCTGATGCAAAATGATCGTATGGCTCCATGAATGAACCACCCACCTCCGAGCCTCCCACATTCGGCACCCTGCAGCCATTTCTCTGACTCAACTCTCTCGTTCAGCCTCCACTGATG